CAATTAAGTTTCCAAAATAAAAAGTAAGCAGATTATAATTGCAGACTGGATGCTTGTCAATATAGATAAAACCAATTTGCAGACCGCGTAAATCGGCCCATAAGAATATGTAATGACATCAAGATGCGAGAGAGAGAAAGGAATGAAAGGGCGTAAAGAGGAGGAGGAAGATATAGTTAGAAATGATCTATGACAACAAAACTATAAGACAAAACGAGTGGAACTTGAGTAAAATGAAGGCAATTATGAAAAAGCATTGCTCTTCTAGGACCATGTTGATTAAACAATTTAAATATACTCACATTAGATATCCTTGCCACAAGCACCCATTAATATCTTTTTCTTTTTGGAATTTAACAACTTCAAGTTCCAAACACATAGTTCTACTATAAGAAGACTACATGTAACACAAAAAGGCAGAGTGCTTAGAAGACTGAAGACTGATCAATAGACCACACAAACAGTTCAACTATAAGAAGACTACGTGATAAGTAGTATTTTGGGCAGATGAATAATTTGGGATACAGGGGACAAACCTGTAAGATTCTGGAAGAGAGCAAGCTTTTAGCAATTTGCAACTCCCATGTCTTCAATGGAGCTAAAGACTGTTCAGGTATTAGTCATAGATCATCACCTTACAATCCCAACTGCATGATGTTGCAAGCTAAATCAAAGGTACAAATAATTAATGTCAACATCGTCAAGTTACATCCTAAAGGACCTAAAATGGAAGAAAATGGCTATATCAGCATGACTTGAAGAAAGCAACATCTTTGGAAGTATTTTGATAAGTGAGAGGCTTATAGCCATTTTCCATGGATGGGGATTGCCAGATGATGTATATCGTAATGTAAATTTTCCAACACATTGAGTTAGTAGACCAAGGCAAGAGATTGGGTATTATGTTTATGTACAATGCGAGAAAGAAGAAAAGTAAAGGCAATTATAATGCTTGAAGCAGCAAACACCCAGCCACAAGTCCTATATGAGATGTCATGATCCCAAGACAGTAACAACTACATTGAAGCAATGCTACAACATCTGTGGCACCATGTTTTGAGCAATTTATACATTAAAATAAGCCTAAGGTGAAAATGCACTGATACTGTTCATTCCAAACAGAGAGATGGATTCCCTAAGATGCAGTGATTCTGAAAGAAACACACATGTAAAGATATGTAGGTGTGAAATGAGAAAAGACAAGTATGAGAATTCATATTTCTAAACCACAACATGACTTCCTGTTCTGACTAATTTTTCACCAATCTGAATTCTGACCCTTAAATTCAACCCTCGGACATGGTGTTTTTAATAACTTAACATTGATTTGAAATTTGGCAACACGGGTATTTGTTAAACTTATCAATCCTCACCACTTCCATGTGATAATTTTTCCACCCCAAAGAAGAGGATTTAATATAGGTGAAGGCCTTGAGTGGCTAAAACTTTAGGGACAACCACATAAGCTAAAGATTTTTAAGGAAGACCTGAATTTTAATCATACATTTTACCTTCTCTATTTCAACATATCAGTATGCATAAACAAGTAGAAAATAAAAGGACAGAACAAATAAGGCATAGAACTTTGAAACAACACCTAGTTAGTGAAATTCGAATCTAGCCTAACAACAAAATGGACAACCATAACTTCATATATTTATCATAACTTTTCATGGTATGGTCAAATTAAACAAGAGAGAATAAATAGGCAGGTGCTCAATTTACAAGAAAGTAAATGCAAAAAAAAAAAAAAAACAATTATGCATCATCGCAACCCTCCATGTTGCAGACTAGCAAGAAAGATATTTTCAATTCACAACTTGTGAAAAATGAAACACAAGATAAACAGACTTAAAACACCTACATGTATCCACCCAAGGGGAAAAAGAAATTTCTTATATTGTACTTCAAATACTTCCTCTTTATTTGATGTCTGACACTAATCAAAAAGAAGAGATTTAGGATTATAGTTAGAGAAATCAGGTAATCCAAAATGAAAAGGTAAGATTTTTAATTTATGAAACAAATTTAAAATAAAGATGATAGATCCACAATGATACTGTTATACTGAGTTTGATGTTGGTTCTCACTTGGGAATAATCAACGCCAGTAACATACAATTTTCTGTTTTTAAGCAAAATAGTAACAATTAAACCCCAAGCATTAGATGATGAACATTCTAAGTACTAAGTTATTGCCACATATGAGGGAACCAACAAGGAAACCACATGTTTCTAGATTCCTATCATGAAATTCTCTATCATTGTAGTTGGCTGCACTAGAAAAAATGTTTAATCTGGTGAGACATAAAGAAATTTGTAAAAGAGTTCCCTATGCTGCTTGCATGATTTGTTTCTCTTGGATGAGAATTTGCAAGCACATTTCCATTAATGATCAGTGAATTTTCAGTTGAGCCTATGCATTAAACTTATTCTTGGAAGAACATAAATACCTCTAATCCATGTCAAAGACATTGTCCAAAAGGACTGGAA